GTTTCTTTTTTTGTTTTTATTATTATTAGTTAATTTTGAGAAATCCCAACCCGATAGATATTTTCATGTATGTACGTATAGTACACACATGTTTTGGTTTCAGGGTGGGGTGTGGTGGGGTTGTCCTTCGTCCTACCAACCCATACATTTCCAAATTTCTCTTTTAATTTCCATCTTACCCGTTTCCTCTTTTGTCATGAATGTTACTGTTTTTTTTAAAACAAAACGTAAGCATTACCGATCAGATTCTTGTAGTCAAGCAACAAGTTGTGATTTGTAAATTATAGGCCATAGATTGTGGCAACAAGTTGTGATTTATAAATTATAGGCCACATATTGTGGCAACGAATTGTGCTATTTTCCTTTTTAAACTGAAACAACAATTATAATATCTATACATGGTTTTAGCTTAAAACCCTTCAACAGAATCGTGAAATAGGTCAATATAACCAACCAGAAAAATCCTAATCAAACTTGTAAAATAGAACCCGAATTTAAATGCATATCTCACCTAGATCAATATGGATGTTATAACTTTTGGATCTCTCTCTCTCTCTCTCAAAGGTACTACTTTTTATGGGACTAAAGTGTCGTTTATCAAACACTTACCCGGTAAGTGTTTACGGGTAAAATTAAACTCTATCATTTACTTATCGGGTAAGATTTTAGTCCACCAAAACGACATCGTATGCAACAATTTACCGGGTAAGCGCTTACCGTGGTAAGAGTTGTCGCCCTCACTTACCGGGTAAGACTCTTGGTCCTTACCATATTCATCCGGTGAGGTAATGTGACTTGGCAAACACTTACCCGGATAAGCGTTTGGTAAACAGTTCATAAATAAAGTTAAAGTCACAGAACAAATCATTAAAAATTAACTACTTCAGACTATGAGAAAAGGTCAACGGATTATTATTATGTTTGATAAACTATCTGATAAATTAGTTGTTAGTTAAAAAATCAGATATTAATTAACTAGTTATTAGCTAACGCATTAGCTAATTAAATAGTCACTAACTTATTGATAAAGTAGATGACAATGTAAAATAATTATAAAAAATATATCAGACAAATTACTCAATTTTAACATAAAATCAGCATAATGGAAAAATGTGTATTTATTTTGTTTCAAAGCTCGATGAAAAGCCATTTGAAATACTTTTTCAAAAAAAATAGTTTATAAACTATTTTCTTCGTCCACAAAACGAAATTATATACAATTTTAGACGTACATAATTATTATATTTTTTATCACTAAATTAGAGATGCGTACGATTTTCGATGCAATCTTGGCTGTGGGCCAAGTCGCCCTTACACCACTAAGCCCCCTCACAAGTATTATCATATGTGATAAGGTTGTTGTTGATATGATATCATAATCCATCAAGACCATCATAGACGCAGACAACCTTTGGTGTGGCCTAAGTCGTAGAACACGTCGTCCGCACATCACATGGTCCCCTCACGCGTATTATCATATGTGATAAGGATGTTCTTGTGTTCTTGTAAAATGAATGTGTTCTTGTTTGAACCTCCACCTAAATATATATGTGTGTGTGTGTGCGCGCGCACATGCGTGCGTGCGTATGTGTGTGCATGTGTGTGTGTGCGTACGTATGCACACATTGTTTAAAAGTTAATTAGAAATTTTAGTTATCTACCTTATAGAAATATAAAGACTTATTTTAGAACGAAAAAAGTAACATATGACTTACTTTCCAATAAACTCAAAAAAAAACTAAAACACCCTTTTACCATACATTTAGGGACTGTTTGTTTACCTCTTAATAATTTTATTAAGAGATAATATTTGAATCGCTAAAAGGCCGGTGAATCTTGTTTGGCAATAAAAAGGTATGTCTCTTAATAGTTCTAAAACTCTCTGAATGATTTTGTATCATGGGCCTCCTTTAACCATTCAGCACCCTAATTCCATTGTAAACAGTTACCGAACAATTATATTTCATTCTACACTATATCACGAGAGCCTCTTAATCATTCTGATCACTTAATCATTGTGCATCAAACCATTCAACAACTACCAAACAACCTCTTACCCTATAAACATTTGATAAACGACGCATAGGGGCTTAATCATTTAAAAACTTTATATCTTGTGATAACCGTGAGAACTTTCATTCTAAGGTATGTTTCAAATGATTTTGTTTCTCATTTATTTTTAGCATTTAATGTATTGATGAACATATATTTGTTTCACAAACGAATTAAAATACTTCATTTTATGAAACAAATATATGTTAGACGAATATTTTGAATAAAAAAAATGGTGTAAAGTAACAGACAAAGACGGACGTACACTTACCGAATATGTCCTACACTTACGTGTGAAGAGGGACATAATTTGTAATCTATATATTGTGGGGGAATAAATGACAGCCAGGTGATGGCACCGTACGACGCGATAAGAGAGAATAACCCTGGAATTAAGTGCTCATTTTATTTCTTATTTCCAAAAATAAAATGAATAAATAAAAGAGAGAGATAAAGAAATAGAAGATTTATTTTGAAAACCACGTTATTTGTATAAACTGTATAAACTTCATTCAATCAAATATAATTTTTTATTACATTCATTTTTCTTAATTATGAGAAGTTGAGTAATCATTTTTATTGTGGAGTATGTTAATCATGGATATTATCATCTTCCTTATATTAATTTTAAAGAGATACATAAAACATTTTCACTAAAATTTCATAAGTATAATAGAAACAATTTTATAACAATATATGAAACAATTTCATAAAGTTAAATAATTTCATAAAAAATTTCATAAAATTAAACAATAAAATCAATGGATGATAGTGGTTTGCACGGTTTGTACGAATATGAGTTGTTTCATTTGATCATTCCTTTTTATATAGAGAGGATGTTTACTTTGCAAACCACGTTAGTTGTACAAACCGCATTCAACAAATCATAATTTTTCATTTTGTTCATTTTTTTAATTACAAGAAGTTGATTAATCATTTTTATTATAGGGATGTTAATCATGAATATTATCAACTTCATTATATTAATTTTAGGAAAATAAATGAAACAGTTTCATTAAAATTTCATAAGTATTATATGAAACAATTTTATAACCATATATGAAACAACTTCATCAAAAAAAAAACATTTATATGAAACAATTTCACAAGATTAAATAATGAAATCACAAAAACAGATTGGTTTCACATGAGACCACTTCTTTTACACTTCATAATGTTTTGTAATGATCTTTCAAATATCAAAAAATGGTCTCACGAAAATAGACTGATCTCACGTGATCCCAAGTCTATATATAAATATATGTTAGTTTGTTGGGGGG